TTATTTATGGCTCTCCTCTTTGAATTACTTCGAAACCACGTACTTATGGAGCCTGTGACTTTTGATCTCGAAAAATTTCTTTTATATTGTTTGCCACATGCATCTGAAAAAAGATTTAAAAAATTACAATATTATGCATGAGAAATACTAAATACAGGATTTAAGTTGATAAGTTAATCATCATATTTATTAAGAGTAGATCAAGTGTATTTTAAGGGGGGGAGCCTCATGTAACCAGTAAAAAAAATCGAAAAAATTTTATTGCACAAATCATTAGTATAATATCTCTAGAATATGTTCCCAAAATTCCAGAGCGAAATTCGAACTTGAAATAGGCAATTTTATACCTGAGCGTTACGCAAGTAAAGCGCGCGCTCCGAGAACTTGAAACTTTAAACGCGTTTTTCTCAAAACCATGTTTTTCAAATTAGCGTGCAAGATTACTGATAAACTATTCGACCAATCGACTTGCCCTTTGGCATGCATGTAGATAACTAAATACCATTGTCTTTAAACCTACTTGTTTAGTCATTTTACATGAGGCTCCCTCCTTAAGACACAACAGGACTGAAAGTAAGAGTTTCATGTTTTTTTCTCAGCATTTTCAATAATTTACCAATAATGCACTTACCACACTTTAGTGACTTGATTCCTTTTTTTATCTCTGTCCCTGTTTAATTCAGTTGTAATGCAACCTCAGGAGAGAAAATTTTCTTACATATACTAGTAGCCATTTCTCCTTCGTGTACCCCTCTCCCAGCTACAACACTAAAATGGGATACCTGTACAGAAAAAAAAGTTATTAGCAAAAAGTTATATTGATGTGCTTTTTAATATTCTTTAAGTATGTAATTACAAAGAAAAGTCACTTAAGATTTGAAATTAAATTAAAGAAAGTACTACAAGAAAATAATATGAACTAATGTTATATAACAATCTGTCTACTGTATATGGATGTAGCTTATCAGAAGTACAGAATTCGAAAGATGGTAAAAGATGCAACGCTAATTCAGAACGATAAATGATATTATTGTTATATTAATTGAATAATACATATTGCGGAATTATGCACTAAAGAATTAACATTGAGCTATTAATTATATAGTCTGGACAATATATTTATCAAATGATTGACGATAAAATGTTATTTAAATATTGAACGTAACAGAAATATATAAATTTTATTTTTTAATTTATATTTGATATCTCTTTCTGACAAAATTATTTCTTACATTTTCTGTATCCAGTGATGAAATGTTTGAGAATTTCAGAAAATGTTCAGAAAGAAGTAGATGCACTTAAAGAACAAATAAAAGCTTTAAAAACATACATTTAAACTACTTTGTGTTTTCAAAATATTATTCAGTTATTTAGCTAATTATAAATATTATTCAGCTTTTCTTAGAATACATAAATTACGTTTGTTATTACATTTTAAACACAACTTGTTTAACTTGTTTGTTGCATCTACTTCTTTCTAAGCATTTTCTGAAATTTTTAAACGTTTCATCACTGGATACAGAAAATGTAAGAAATAATTTTGTCAGAAAGAAATATCAAATATAAATTTAAAAATAAAATTTATATATTTCTGTAACGTTCAATATTTAAATAACATTTTATTGTCAATCATTTGATAAATATATTGTCCAGACTATGTAATTAATAGCTCAATGTTAATTCTTTAGTGCATAATTTCGTAATATGTATTATTCAATTGATATACAATAACAATATAATATCCTTTATCGTTCTAAATTAGCGTTGCATCTTTTACCATCTTTCGAATTCTGTACTTCTGATAAGCTACATCCATATACATTAGACAGATTGTTATATGACATTAATTCATATTATTTCCTTGTAGTACTTTCTTCAATTTAATTTCAGATCTCAAGTGACTTTTCTTTGTAATTACATACTTAAAGAATATTAAAAAACGCGTGTGTAGTAAAATATAATTTTTAAACTATTTTTTTCTTGGAAGAGATTTGTGTTAAATATTTTTTGTAGTATTTAAAATATGTCAATGTTTAAGTTTTTTACGAGAAAGTTTTATTGTACTACCAAAGACTGGTATAAGTTTAAATAAATAAAAATCTTTTTCTATATATATATAAAACATACAAAAATATAAAATAAATCTATATTATTATTAAGAAAGAATAAATATCTAAATATTAAAAAAGATTTTTATTTATTTCAACTTATACCAGTCTTTGGTAGTCAATAAATCAAGAGAATCAAGAGAAGGTACACGGTAGTATCTCGTAACAAGTAATACTTACGGAAGAATTCATGAGTAACCACGTCCGAACACGTCAACAATTTCGCTGTTTTGATTGTTATTATTAGCTAGTTAGTATATTAGCTAATCTATAACGTAGCACCATGCAGGTTCCTGTTCCCACTTATGTTGTCAGGGACGACACAACTAGGCAGCAAAATTAAATCTTGGAATAAAAAAAAAAACAGAATTAGAACACAAAAATAAATAAATGCATATAATAAATATATTTGTAGAAATACATGAACTCTGTATCGTAACCTCTGGGTGCGTTCCGAATTTGTACATCAAAACGCAGAGCACTATTTATTCTTCTTAAACGTTCGATGAACATCAAAGACAAATAATATATATACGCTATGCGTCTGATGCGCAATTCGGAACGAACTCTCTGTAAAAAATGCTTGCATATATTACAAGCTGGGGTAATGATACGGCTCATGTACTTTTACAAACGTACATATATATAAGAAACTAGTATATATAAATAAATATATAAGAAAAAATGTAATACTTACAGGAGTATCCACGTCCGAAGACGACGACGACTTTGATGACTAGTCCAGACAATATTTGGTTCAAACTCCCTTGATCAGGGGCTGTACGACCATTACTCAAAATATATGCGTTTATTCCTCTTCTTTTTACTCGTATATATTAACCCACTACCACACGGATGATATAATTAGGTCGTCAATTTTTACAAAATTCTATACCGGACGAAACACAAATAATACGCTATGCGTCTGATGCGCAATTCGGAACGGATGACTCTCTGTAAAAAATGCTCGCATATATTACAAGCAGGGGTAATTATACGACTCATGTATTTTTACACGCGTACAAATATATATGAGAAACTACGTACAGAGTATCCACGTCCAAAGACGACGACGACCTTGATGACTAGTTCAGACAATATTGGTTCAAGCTCTTTTGATCAGGGGTTATACGACCATTACTCAAAATATATGCTTTTATTCCTCTTCTTTTTACTCGTATATTAACCCACTACCACACGGATGATATATTACATCGTCAATTTTCACAAAATTCTATACCGAACGAAACACGTCTTGACGCGTTTGCACACAGATCGAGACTACGCCGCGGGCCTTGATCGAATAATAACCTCGACGAGACTGATGAACACGCACGCACGTACAGACATGTTTACGATTCGCGACTTTGAAAAAGACAATCGGACGCAGGCGTTGTGGGCGTGAGTCCGACCCCCCTCCCCCGCCTCTCTCCGTACTCGCGAGTAATGCCGCGTGCACATATATGCATCCCGCACTTGCCACGCTCGAGATACATTACGACGCGGTAGCCAATTACCTATTCTTTCGCTTATACGAAAAAGCGATAAATTAACTGGCTACCGCGTCACGTTTCGCCGTGCGCCAATCGTTGTCATTATGCAAAAGCCGAATCGCGCCCGTATATGACGGTATCGCAGCGAGCGTCTGATATATTTAATAAATGTCGTGTTTTAACCCTCCACAAAGACACGAGGGCGAGTCATGTTTTTCTCATGCGAGTCAAAAATTATTTCTAAAAGATTTGAAAGTTATTATAGATGTTTTATACGCGATTTGCACATTTCCACAGCAATTTTAGAAGATGCATTCTCAACAGCGCTTTCAAAGTGCTTTGCACGCGCTCTTGTGCTACGTGCGCTTTCAAAGCGCTTTTTACACGCATGATTGACGAAAATGTTTTTAAATGTTTTGCAAAATAAATTACATGTTTTCAAGCAACCTTTGATAGTCTTAGAAATAATTTTTGGCACACTGTGAATCAAAATCCATCAAAATAGCCACCTGCCAAAAAAGTGCGTACTGACAGCGGTTTTGGGAGGTGCATTCTCAACAGCGCTTTTAAAGCGCTTTTTACGCGCATGATTGACGAAAGTGTTTTTGAGTATTTTTCAAAGTGAATTACATGTTTTCAAGCAACGTTTTAGTCTTAGAAATCATTTTTGGCACACTATGAATCAAAATCCATCAAAATAGCCATCTGTCAAAAAAGTGCGTAACTGACAGCGGTTTTGGGAGGTGCATTCTCAATAGCGCTTTCAAAGCGCTTTGCACGTGCTGCTGTGCTACATGGGTATCTGCGGTACCAACCGATACGGGTAAAGGTGAAATTTCATGGGCA